GCTTCTACAACTGATTTCAGCTCATGATGAAATCCTCCAACCAAATACCGTTTTTAAGATTGTCTTTTAAGTAACAATATTATTTCGCTGTATTTGTTATATTTATAGCATAAACTGATATATAAGGAGAAAAAATCAATTTCATCGACTGGGAATTGAGTAAAATTAAGGAAGGATAGGGAAGAAATTCTGAGAAAAAACATTGTTCAAGCCTTTTTAGAAATTAGATTTATTCATTTAATTTAAGGATAGATAATTTTAAGAAACGCGCTTTCGATGCAGCTATATACATATATATATTTTGTTATCTTCAGTTGGATTTTAAGAATTAGTTTTGTTTTTGTCAGTTAGAGAACCATTGAAAACCTACCAGGGAGTTATGGGCAACTGTTTCGTCAGCCAATTAGATTAACGGATCCGCATTTTAGGTCACAATGTCTTTTGTATCAGTGTCTTGCGATTGATTAGGAGGCCACAAGTCTGAACCCAACACATCTCTTCATTAAACGCTAAAAACAAATATTCCTCTTATAACTTTCAAACCGAAGATTCACTTGAATTCAACTGATTTCAATCAAGTTAGATGATGAAAACATGTGACTTGGAGAATCACTGAAAATCAGGCAGTACTGGACTGTTGCTTCGCTCTAGTTGGCGCGTCTCCTGCTGTGAGCAATCAGGCTTAAGGGTTGAAACTAGCTCCTTCATTTGACCTTGCAACTACTAGAAAGAAATCCGGTGTTCCAGTTGGTGAACAACCGTCACTAGCATCATTGAGTATTGGTACATCCGTTCAACAATTCAGTTGCACCCATTAGTTTGAAATTTTACCAACTAATTACTCACAATCACTACTAATACTAATATAAATGCTACTACAAAATTCTCTGACTTGTAAAGCACTCCTGCATAACCTCACAATAACTTTCGACTTAATTGTCTCGAACAGAGAAATTATATGGACTTAAAATGTTTGTTGTAATCCAAAAACTAACAAATGTTAATGAGTAGTAATATGAAGGAAGTCGTAATGGATAATGCTGAGAGTGTGCAGTGTTTTCATGTCATACGTTGAAATAAGTTAGATTTCTATGTGGTTGTGTGACTAAAGTCATCAGGAGAGAGATGATCAATAAACTCGTGGAGAAATCTAAAAGCTCACTCACTTCAAATTGAAGTATGTGCTGAAGATGTCACCTAGTAGGGTGATGAAAGCTTCGCAAATCAACCATCCACCTCAGAGAACACAACCACACCAAAATCATCCACCTAAGCTACAAATATTCTCTATTATATCTAAGTTAGATTTCATGAGACACAAGCCTTGAACTCTATAGACGAGTACTGAAAATCTTCAGCTCATAACTTGAAATTCTTGGATTCAATCTCCGCCATATGTGCGTTGACGACTTAACAGTTAAAAGTGAGCAACTGTCAAGAGCTCCTTCGTTTCCAGTACAGAAATATTCATTCCTCATACAAATTGAAAATATGAGAATTCCTATACACTGACTCGGAACCAAAACTTTTGACAGTTGAATGGAATCTGTAATTTTGTAGTTAGGTGGCATCTCTGTATTGTAGGTAAAATTGCCCAATCACAAATTAGCATTTCATAAGCAGCTCAGTTTTCAGTGTTACTCTAAATGCCTTAAGTTCTTAGCAAATTCGACACTATAAGTAATCAAATCCTGTAGTAACGGAGAGTCATTGAGTTCACATATTCACATAATTATTGCTAAACATCTACAATTGAATTGGATATGAAATTTCTTAATTCACTTAAAGGAAAAAAATTCACTACCCTATACAGCGAAATAAAAATAAACACCTGTAATAAAATATAAAAATCTCTCAATTTTAATACATTTGTAAACTTAGACACTGTGTTAGTAAGTAATTGCATATTAGAATTTAACTGGTGGATGGTGACTAGCAGTGCAATCCAGGACAACGCGCATTTCTTCCTGTTTGAGACTTTTCATCTGGATGTACCTGCATTTCCCGATGACCCCAATGATGTTCCCATCGAGGCTGGAACCCTATGCCAATAGTTTCAAACGCCAAGGCATTCTTCAATAGACCATTTGAGGCACAAGAGTCACTTCTTGTGCAACGGGTCAAAATAATTTAATTTTAGATTTTCCCGTCGATTGATTGGACCGAAGTGCTCTGTCTCAGGTTGGCATGTCGGCTTCTTGTGGAGATGCGTTGACGATGCCAAAATTTTAATCTGAGACCGAGCACTTCGGTCCAATCAAATGATGGGAAAATCTCAAATTCAATTATCTGCATATTAGTTTATTTATTAGATATATCTCACAGTCTCTGAAACAAGTGCAGGCAATTCAATTCACTTATTATTCGGAAAGTCAGGAAGGGGAGCTTTCACTCTTAGATTGCAGTGCAAAAAAGAAAGAAGATGGGAAGTTAAACACTAATTTTTAAAGGAAACCCACACATTTAAAGAGATATTTAGATATCCGACCATCCCATCCCATGTCAGCAAAAATAAGATTGGTATAATGTTTGAGTGACAGAGCACAAAAACTAAGTAGCACTAAGGGATGTCAAAGAGAGGACGCGAGGCATACAAGAGAAGCTTTGGAACTTAATAATTACCCTGATAAATTAGTCAGAAAGTTTGTAGGGAAATGTAAAAATAAAACAAATAATGATAGTAGTGATAGTGATAATAATGACAACAATAATAATATTAGTGACAACATGCATGTCAAACATGTACAGGATAATTACAACATTACCAATATGGAATCTAAATCATTAGTAGCAATTCCATACAAGAAGGGAACCTCAGAAACTTTGTGCAGAATTCTTAACAAGGCAGGAATAAAAGTGGCCGGCATTCACACCCACAAACTCAATTAGAAACAAGCTTTGTCGGTTAAAGGATCCTGTGGAGTGTCAATTTAGTATATCAAATACTCCGCCTTCAATGACTCTCCGGTTAAATAGTGCATAGGTCACAGTGATAGAACAGGAGCAGTCAGAAGAACCGAGTATAAGATCCCAGCAAAAGTGAGATTAGTTAACCCGAGTAAGATAAAGTGTCTAGACAATAGTTCAGCTATGGCGCTACACCGCATGCAATTACACAAAACCACACGATAGGCTGGGATAAGACGACAGTTTTAAAATCTAATATAACAACTCTGTGGAGGGAGAGATTGATAATGGAAGCTTTGTTTATCGAATCAACAGAGGCGAATAAGTGTAAAAGGAATGTTTCAGCACCTATCTTAGGTATCTGAAAAATTCTTCTACCCCTACGACGACAAATATGGGTGAGCAAAGAAAACTTTAAAATTCAAGTCTCGAAGTCGTGTGGTTATAATTGATGATATGATTTTGAACCACGATAAATCTTGTTGGAAACACTGTCCCCCAGTTTCACAGACAGTGTGGTTTATCTAATAAACAAACTAATATGGAATCTATTGATTTTGTTTTAAACATAAAATTTGTTCAAAATGCTAAGGGATTGAGTGCTTAAATAAACGCTTGTTCAAATATATATATTTATATAATGAAAAATGAATTTCGAATTCCTTCAGTTAGTCGTATATACCGTAACAACCAGCCATTGTCACTATCGAGGAAACATTCCGATCAGTAAATTAACATATCTCTCTGTTGTCATGACTTCTCTGTGAAACTCCAGGCAGCCTCCAACCACAGTCAGACCCTAGGAAGCATCGAATTATTTTTCCAACGCTGGTTTGCGAGGCTTTCGCTGATTTTGAGTTAAATTATGAAATTCTACTCAGAAGTGGATGAATGTGAATGAGCAAAGTAGCCTTCTCACCTTCAAGAACACACCTTAATCACTGTGAATATTGTGAGAAGTTCACATAATCGAATTGTGGTTGCTTCCAGTATGTTACGGAATGAGAAACACACCTAAAACTACATTTTCGTCCAGACTGCATTGTACTGCGTCTATTATAATTTAGTTATATTTCCCACATTGACTTCTGATGATTCAAAGCACTGAAGCATTTCATAATTTTTCTGACATTTCTCAAGGAATCTCTTGATGTAGAATTTATAAGCATTCCCATCGATTCATTGTTCCATTGTGCAAATCAACAAAGACGAAGGAACTAGGATCACGTGAACATTCACCATTTATTATTTTGGGAATTCTTCTCAAATGACTACAACTTGAAAAATACAAAAATATAAATCACAATAAAGATTTGAACATACCTTCTACATTCCGACGTGGAGTTACTGATTGAAACAAAGAGTGACGTCAGTCCGGATTGATGTAAGTCGTTAAGTTATTTAGAGTTGGAAGGAATGACTACATATACTGATATGAACAATATTCACAATGATTAAGGTACGTTGTTGAAGCTGAGAAGGATACTTTGCGCAATCACATTCGCACATTCATTCTGTGGTGAATTTCAGGATTTACCTCAAAAATAATAAAGCCTTGCTAACTAGGCTTTGAAAAATAATCTGATGCTTCTTAGTGTCTGACTGTGGGTCAAGGCTGTCAGGGTTTCAGAGAGAAGTCATGAAGCCAGATAGATCTCTTAATTTGGTGATGGGTATATTTCCTCCATAAGGACATCGATTGGTGCTCAGGATGTATACCACGAACCAATGGAAGTTAGAATTCATTGGTTCACCTCTCAGATTCTCTCAGATAATAATCTACAAGCGATTCGCATATATCGCTTACTGACAACTTATCATTTACAACTTCAGGGTGTACACTTAGTCTGCTAATGATAACTTTGTGCCAACGCCATTGTCTATAACTCCACTGTCCTCTGTCATACACCTTTACACATAATTTCTAAATTAATAGTTTTTTACAAAGTAATCTATATTCAAAATACAATTCACAAGTGCTTACCAATTGTGTAAGTAGTAAAACCAAAAAAAAAAAAAAACGAACTGAAACAATTCGAGTAGATATGTAATTTGTATATCTTTTAATTTTTCTAAATGAAAAGTCTTTGAATTTTTTTCAATGTTTCAATACATATACAATACGTGTCAATCATTATTCAATGTTCAATGGTTGATTGAAGCAGATAAATGAAACAAAGATATATATATATATATGTATAGGCGAAAGTCTGCATTTTTTCTGAAAAAACTTTCTGAATAACTAGAAAACGAATATATGTATAGAATAAAAAATAATTAAAAATAAATATATATTTTTCTCCTTTTTTTCAAAAAGTTGAAACAGACAACCATATTTTATCGTAGGTTTGTTTTAATTGATCAATCAACTTTATGTACAATTAATTATTTGTATGCGGTAAGTATAATTGAAAAGTGAGCATGAACTGTAGTTTACTGATGCATACTTTGTTAATGTGCAATTTTATGTGTGTGGGTATGCGTGTGTGTGTGTGTGTGCGTGCGTGCGTGCTAGCAATGGTGCATATCTATGCATATTTCACATTCTAATCCGACAAAAAATATCGTAGACTAGTAAATAATTGACTGAAAAATGGCCGCAGTTTAATATGAAATGATTTGACATTCCAGATGATTGATAGAAACTAAGCACATGATTTTAGGCAAAATGGTTAAAATGTTCATAATGTCGAACAATCTATGTCGTAGGTTTGTTTGTATACGTTTCTGAAATACTCAAATGGAAGCACTGGAATTGATAGTAGGAAAGAGAATGATAAAACAGCTGTCGCCACATTATACAATCTGCCTACAAAACAAGAAGACCTGAAGCAGATTTTCATCTAAAGACGATGACAATTTTCGTCATCACTAGCATCGTTATTATCGTGATCATTCGTATCATTATGAATTTCTGTTTTTAGATAGATAGATTCATTCGGTCCAACATCAAATTTTACCATTTTGCCTAAATCTATACTATCAACCGATTTTTCTGCATATTCATCAACTTCATCTTCATGAAGTGTTTTCAATTTACTCACTAATTCTTCTTCTTCATTCATATAAGCATGATTATTGGCTCCATTCACTGGAAGTTTAATTCGTTCTAGATTAGGCTGTTGAATATGATGCTTCAAGGCACGACTACGTGATTTCATGACATCTAAAAAGGCTTCATCAAAGTCAAGTTGTCGTTTCTCTTTCGGTGCTAAACTTGGTCTACGTGCATATCGAAGGAATTGTTTCACTTCTGGAGCTAAATTTGTATCTGAAGTTATCGTTGATGATCGTCGACGTGTTGTTCCACTTATTGGAGATTCTGTGTCCTTCATTGCTTCTATAGACATTTTCGGTAAATTATTCGGGATAGTTAATTTATTCGCATTAGGTAGATTTACCATTGAACAATTAGCACTTAAAAGACCAGGTATTGAAACAGTTGAAATATGCGAAGTTAAAAATCGATATTTCAGTGTTTCTGGTATATCCTTTAGAATAGTTTCAGTTTTACTCGGACGCATTGTAGCATAATGCAGTTTCAGTGCAATCTTCTCGTAGACTTTCAACATTTTTTGATCATATGTATCTGGTTCACGTTGAAGAAATCTACGTAGATATTTCTCATCAACGCGTAGGATAAAATCGCGCATTAGATTACGACCTTTGGAACCAACAAGAATTTCAATTCCAGCAAGTGTTTCATCAAAGATTCCATCATTTAATGAATCGAATAGGCTGAGTTTTTGTTTGGCTTCCATACGTATTTTTAATAATTTGACTAACGGTTTCATAGTTATCCCCATAAAACCAACAGTGAATAAAATAATAAATAGTGTAGTAGTTACAATCAATTCACGATTGTATACACCATTTGGGCCTAGTTTATTCGGCATAATTAAGATTGCCAATGAAAAGGCTACAGCACCTCTCAGTCCACCATAGATAAGCACTATCTGTTGTGTAAAGCTTATTTTTGTTTGAGAAAAAGCGACACGATTAATCACAGCCGTCATCAGGAAGACAACAACAGCACGAGCTATTAAACACCATACTAATGCCCAAAGTATATACCCAGTATGCCAGACAAGTTTTGTAGACACAACTTCAATGCCTAGAAATAAAAAGATGACAGACTCACTCATCTCAGAGACAACTTTTGTCAGATTTCTCACCATTGTAACTGAATGTCGATCCAGGTTATGAAAGGCATAGGCAGCTTGAACAAGTCCACAGCCAATCATTGAAATAATCCCCGACCAACCAACACAATCAGCCATGATATAGGAGAAGTAAGCCAACAGTAATAATGTAAAAGCATTTAAACGACTCTTGATTCGAGTTATTAGACATGTGATAATTCCGAATAAGACACCGATTAGTAGTCCACCAAGACTTACTGTAAAAAATGATGCTATCCCAATGCCAATCTCTTTACCAGACACATATTCTTTCCCAGTGAATGCATCCATAATATCATATAAGACAACAGTTACAGCGTCGTTTAACAATGACTCACCAAATACAATATAATATAAGCCCAGTTCTACACCAATATCTTGAAATATCGCTAATACAGCAACAGGATCAACAGCAACAATCAATGAACTAAACAGCAGGAAGCCTTTCACATCAAAATCTAACTGAGGTTCTCCAAATGCACCCAACTGGCATAATATATGCATCATAAATCCAATAATTAAAAAATTAAATATTGTACCAAGTACAGCGAATAGGAGAACAACTCCAAGATATTCAGAAAATGTTCTATTATATAAACTATACGCTGATTCTAAAACTATCGGGGGTAATAAATAGGTGAAGAACAGTGATGGTGTTAACTTCCAGACAGTTTTTTTCGTGACACCTTTTTCAATCCCATAGCGAACAACTGAACCGAAGATAATACCAATGACGATGAGAACAAATGATTCTGGAATGTAGGCAGATATATATGGTACACGATGATATGACATTTTAATAAGTATCATGATTAATAAAAATAGCATAACAGCGATGTGTATTTCAAAGTCAGAGAATTCCCACTTTGCTACAACTATATCACTGCTATGACCAGTATGTTCATTGTCGTGACTTGATGTTGTCTTATTACTTCTATGGATTGTATAATTTGAAGAAATTAGGCTACACTGGACATAGGAGAACGATAAATATGATAATTCAGCTATAGTAATAAGCAATATTCCATTTCTCATTGTAACTCAGACTTCAGTATAGTTTGCCGTTGAGTGTGATGAATTTTAGCGTTGAAATGATGCTTGATTAGTTGTACAGCTGTCACGGTGTAGGGGAAGGGGAGGCTATTTACTGCGTCAAACTGATGAGAAGTGTTAATGATACTGTGTAAAAAAAATTCAACTCGTTAGAATGTTACTTTTTTGAATTTAACCAAAAATTATTATCCTGTCTGTACACATTCCATTTGTAAGTGTCTTGAATTTCATTTGGTTTATATATAGCCATTTTGTTTTTTTCGTTTTTCACTATTTTAAACAAACATTTCAACCAATCAGATATTGATGAGTTAGAAGGAATAGTATTTAAGCCTAGGCTGATTAAATAGACAACAATTGGGTTGGTTTAAACGGTGAAACCGGAATACACTTGCGCTTTAATATAGAGGAAAAAAAGAGATAGTAGGTAAACAGTTATGACTTGGTTTACCTTCTGTTTTTTTTACAATATGAAGAAAGAAGGAGAGAAACGAGGTGAAAATATGTAATCGTTAACTTGCAATTATAACTAGATGTCTCCATGAATAAATAGGGAGGTTTATTCGCCTTTATTGTTTACGAATAATCCACTAAATGTGAGCTTTTGATATCCTCACCATCAAGGATTATGCTTAAGGTAAAGGTTAGTGTTAGGGTTAGAATAAGAGTTAGAAAGAGGTACTGATTATCTTTGAAGTGTATATTCTTCTCGTAAATATACAAATTGGAAGTGTTTAAATGAATTCTAGATTTTCCAGTCGATTGATTGGATCGAATTGCTCGGACTCAGGTTGACATGTCGGCTTTTTCAGTCAACGGTTAATATATAAAGTTGAATGAAATAATAATTGATATAATCCATTGCAATAGAGGTGGCTCTCGTGGCTCAAGTAGTCTACTGGATAATGCTTTGGCGTTTGAAATTATGGGCACTAGGTTCGAGCCTCGGTGGCAACATCATCACTTACTGGGAAACTGAAGTACGTCCGGACGACGAGTCCCAGATAGGGAGAAATGCGCGTTGTCCTGGATTTCACTGCTAGTCACCATCTATAGGTTAGATTCGAGGAGTGTTGTTTGCTGTTCACATAGGCGAAACCGTTTCACTGGTTGTAGAACTCAAAACTTCCTATCCTTCCGTGTAAATGAGAAGGATTTTCCACGTACATTAAGGTGACAAATAATATCTTTAGTATGTTTAATCTATTTCAGGTCAATTTTTACGAACCCAGGTGGGTGCGTACTGCTGAAGAGTACCAAACTAGGACGAAGCAGCTGCCCAGTACTTTCAGGTTTTCCAACGACTCTCTAACCAATGCCAACTCATGATGAAATTCTGTAACTAATCAACCAAATTTCTATAAACCAAAACTTGAATACAAATTTTTTCTCTCAAAAAACAGATTTTCGATGTACAATATATAGCAGATTCTGTGATCCAACCAGTTGTGTACGCTTAAGGTTATTGCTGGGATCACACTCATTGTTTTTAATTCTTTACATACATACATAGTCTACCAGATAAAATGCCTATTTCTGATTGATAAATGGGTCCGTTTAATCAATTTAAGCTGGATGACTTCGTTTTCAGCAGAGTGCACGCTGTGAAGAGTCACACATTGTGACGATATTGCATTTCAGGAATTCCTAAGGTTTTCGATGTTTCTCTAACTGATATCAGTTTCTAATTGCTTTTTAATATTTCAAGTAAGAAGAAAGTAGGATTAATCAACGGTAAATTCAGAAAAATCACTGAGAATCACTAGCTTTCGATTTGAGACTTGAGGCTACCATTTAGTATTAGTAGAATAGCTGATGATATAAACACGCACAGAGGTGAGTAGAATATACATGATATCTGGAACTAATCTTTGGTTTGCATTGTACTTTTACAAGTTACCGAACAAGCGTTCATTATTGTTCAACAACATCCATCTGACAATTTACACCATCCTACATGATTAAGATCTTTCAACAATGGCTACAGTTTGAAAAGGAATTTGCATAAGGAAAGTACTTGAACCAACCAATACACATTTTCACAGCTTTGTATAAAAGAAATCGAGTTAAGATACTCAACTGCAAGACCAGAGTTATTTGTTCAGAAGATGCGATTAAACAGAACTCTGGAAGGTTTGTTACCAAATATATAACCAAGAGAATAGAGTTTTTTTGTATTGCGTTCGGTTTTCATCACTTGACTCCATGTCTGCTCACATAATTTCATCTCTACTTCACATCACCTCCTCAATGTCACCCTCGCTTCCCTTTCGAGTTTCACTCGAGCAATGGCCTGTCGTGTGATCTCACTCACTTGATGGGTTGTATTTGTAGAGAATGACCGATCCATCTCCACTTTTTCTGCGTATTTGTTGCACAATTGGTTCCTGTTGGGTTGGTTGTTTCATCGCCAGAGATCCTTGTTGTTTATCTTTTCAGGCCGGTGATCTGATCTGGAGTAATAGTGAGTGAAGTTAGCTAGCTGTTGACGTGGGTGTGTGCTTTTTTTGAAGTGGCTTTCGTGACGCGGTGCCAAGTCTCTGATCCGTATGATAGCACTGACTGACTTCACACTGGAGTTGAAAATCTGGATCGTATTTTTCATACTGAGTGTTGTAAAAATATATCCTTCCATTAAGTATGCTTCAAATTATTATATGTCTCGTACTGACCTGCCAAAGAAATAACAATGAGAGGGAAATTTTGACAGAAATTAAACCCCCATAAAACCCAGCACGAGCTCTTTGTTATGTTTTGATGACAAACAAGGCTATATTGCAAACTAGATCTGAGCACCTTAAGATAACAACATTAACCGAAAGTTTACTATACACTGATTCCCCTGTATGAATTTGAATAAAACAAGAAAAACAGTTTGTGCAGAATAAGATGGTGCCGTCATTGAATTGGTTGATGTCCCACTATCTGCAGACAGCCTAAAGAAATTATTTTATCAACACACAGAAAAAATCTTAGATACAGTCAATTGTTACATGATGCAAGATAATGACATTAGACACTAAAGACATCACACTTACCTAAGTACGCCATGGAAGTTCAAGCGTGAAAAAATCGAATTCTTGAATACATCGGTAAAATGGTGACGCATCAAAGACAACAGCTGGAAATGATGACGAGTAACTAATAAATTGAGCAATAATGTGCTGGCTACACCTCAAACAACAATGTAAGTAAACGATTAAAGTTACATCATATCAAAGTGAGAAGTGATCAGAGCCAGAGTTTACGCAATCAAATGAAGCAGGCTACAAATACGTCCACTTCTCAGAGCAAGGAAACACTGATAAATGATTCTTCCTAATCACGCACATCAGATTCCCAATGTCTGACATTATTTTATATCATTGCAGACCACAAACGTGTCGTCGACACATCTGCAGTAGTAAGTGGATCTTTCTATTTCCTCTTTCATTCGAGTCTGTTCAAGAAGAGCCATGAATATGTCAGCAAGAACACCTCACCTCTGGGTCCTGTTCTTGCTAACATATTCATGGCTCATCTTGAACAGACTCGAATGAAAGAAGAAATAGCCATTATTTTGTCAAACTTGAGGAGAATCGATCTATTTTGTCTACTGATAATTTTAAAGGAATTTGTAATGTCCATCTGATGATTCGTTACTACTGTAGGCGTTATTCCCTTGAGATGGAAACTTTTGGATACATCTTCGGAAAATCGGAGTTGTGCCTTTCTTTCTGTCCTCACAATGTGATTGCTACCACAGATACGTGTACATTTTGTATGCACATTTCGAATCAGTATGAAGGGTGTATCTGTTGGGATTTAGGTATACCACAGAGCATGTTGTTGGATTATCGCAAACCAACTTGGCTATCGGATAGGTTCTAGCTGGTCAGGCATTCATTCCTGTGTTGAGTGTTCTTATTTTGAAGTTTGTCACCTATCGTAGCCAGTATTTTAATCTCTAGTTTTTTTCATTCTTGTGGCGTTTCTAAAAGGAAAATGTTGCTTTATTCCTTGAGGTTTCAGTACCAGTGGTTTTGTTATAGGTGGTCAGGTTTCTAGCCCCACTTGCAAAATTTCCATCTTTATGCGCTTACTACCGGCTGGGCAAGACTAAGGGGTACGTTGACTGATAGTCTAATTCCATCCTCTTGTGCAATCAATAGGCTTTCTAGCACTAAGGCATCTACGTTTAGCCTCTAGTTTAAGGAAGAACACAACTAAGTTATTCAAGTTTACGAAATGCAAAAGCAATCAATCCATCATATAAGTGTTTTTCATTTTAAAAGGTTTAACAAAAATATAATTTCGACAATTCACTGTACTCAAATGCCAATCTACGTTTAGTAAATATATCAGATGAACTCAACCGAAACTGGAAAAAAACAATCGTTTACTTAACTATGAGTGGTAACTCACTTTTCATAATGGATTTTTTCAAAGTCTGAAATTAAGGACAACAATATGCTCTAGCAGTAGGGGAGATAGTCTAAAACTAGAAGAAGAATTATCAAATCCTTTTCACCATAACACTTGATTCAAATACCGAGAATTGCTAGTTCGATTCTTTGAAGTCAAACACAGCATCCTGTATATCACTGGACACCAATTAGGAAACAAGTTGATATATATGTAGAATAAACCAATGATAATATTGTAGCGGTAGACAATTCCCCATAATTATTAACCACAGTTTAATATCACTGAACATTAAATGCTGACCCTTATTGTTTGAGTCGATTTGCTAGGCTGAAGGCTCATACTCAAGGCATGCACACCGTTTGGCACGTGGTCGTTTTATTCTCGTTTATATACGATCCCTAGCTTGCTGAGCAATCAACTTTACTTTACGATTTGTTGCCTAGAATATACTTCGTAATTTAGACGATGAATTTTGGAGTTTTGCTTTGGTTTTTGTCTAGGCAAAATTAATACTATAAAGTTGTGGGTAATTATATTTTGCTTTACTACACCGTGAACTCTCAATCTCTAAAATTTGACAAGCGTTAATTGATACAAACAATGAGTAATACGAGTGCGAAATGATTTAAAGTGTTTGACTATAAATAGTTGCAGTGACTGATCAATTATAGTGTAATTCGATCAATACTCTTGAGAGTGCACTTTAAAGTATTTAATTAGAAGCATAGTTCAATAGAAAATGCATTCAGTCAGTTCTTCACTGAATGATTTCAACCTAGAACTTTGCAGAGATGTGCAACAGGTTTGAGTTGCCACACTCCCACCTTGTAGCACACAAAGC